TGGTTAGCTGAATACACAGCAAGAAAACTCAGCACTGGCAACTTTATGAACTATAATGACAGTGTTATATATGTGCTTACTGCTGCCAGTCATGAAAGCAGCATTCAGAGAACTAATCTGCATATATGTTATGTCCTATGATATATAACAGTGGAGCTACTTTACCATCATCATCTTTGTTTTTGCATTTAAAATATTATGCACATGTCCTGGGTTGCAGTGTGGGGGTGGCCAATGGTATGTATTCTATTGTCATCTCCACAAGTTGTTGGGGCAGATGGGGCAGTGATCGTTATCTCCTCGTCCCTGATGGCTCCCTCAGGGGCTGTCTCTGTTTAATGGGCCATCATCCCATTGTGAGATGCTTCACTTCAAGGTGGGGGGGAGCCAAGCATTCCCACCTGGATATAATCTGGGGGTTGGACCAGCACGGGGAGCCCTTACCTGCTGGATCCCCAGAGGACAAGAGCTACCACTGGACCTTCAGGTGAAGACCAGATTTACAGGATCACTGCTCCAACAGACCCATCACTCCAGGAGGGCTGCAGCCACCATTTAATGGGACTACTCCCAACACCCTGACTGACAGGGTGTCAGGTTGCTTTCTGACTCTGTCAGTGGTTTCTTTTTGTACTGTTGCATTTATTGTTTTGTTTTCCCTATTAAATTGTACTTCTGACTTGGAGCCTCTCACTGGTTTGCTTTCAAACCAGCACAGCACACAATAAAAGTGTTCACAACAGAAACCTCTGTGCATTTCCATCATGTCAAATGCTCTGTACACACTGTAAGGGCTATTCTGGGTGGTAGGTCCCAAGAAGCTGAGTGCTTCTGTTTTGTTTTTTTTCCCTTTCCATTGGGTATTTTCAGCAGTGCACAGTGCAACTCAGCTTCACCTAAATCCACTCCTGCTCTGGAATGGGAGATAGAAGTGCAGTCTAGTGGCAGATGGGAAAGCTGTGTGTGTCTGCTCCAGGCCTTTCCCATTCGTGCAATGTGGGCTTTGGATTCAGACATTGATGCCAACAGTCATGATTCCAGCTCCTAATTTTGCTTGTTTTGGTGAGCTAATTACATTGATAACCTCAAACAATGAGCATGGAACAGGTGCAGGTATTTGTTGTTTCTGGAAAAGCAGCACTGAGTGTCATCATCCCAAGCTAAGCATCCCTGAAACCTGGGAATACGAGGGGCTCTAACCTCACTCTGATGCTACCATGGGTGTTGGGAAAATAAGAGTTACAGCTGCAGGGCCCCTTCCAGCCATCCCCTCAACAGCCATGACTCCTGAGCTGGGGATTAACACCTGCTGCATAATAAAATAGGATGCCTTATTTATATTAAAAATGAAAGATAACAGATCACAAACTTTCAAGGATAAGAAGAGACAGGGAGGTTTGCAGTGCCTGTAACCAGGACATTGATGAGCTCTACAGGCATCACTGCTGCTGGATCCTAAATGATTGGGTGGGGAGCAGATGCCACCAGTTTTTGTGGCTGGAGCTTGTTGGTTGCCTTCTGCCTAAAGCACATGGATTCTTGGTAACTGAGAGAAGCAAACCCCTCCTCTCAATACTGCTGCTGTTTTTCTGCACCACAGTGGGAGGCTCTTCCTCTGCTTCCCTGTCTGGGGACAGAGCCAGGAAAAGCCAGGAAAAACACCAAGGCCCTGCTCCCTGCTCAGGATTTCCCAGCACCTTCCAGCCCTGCCCAGCCTGACTCTGCCTGCCTGGGGTCAGAGGTATGAAAAAATTCACAAAAAGTTTACAGTAACTCTAAGTTAGTATTGAAAGCATGACAAGGGGGTGGCAGAGCAATGGAGCTGGGAAAAGTCCCCAGTGACAGAATGCTATCAATCCTTCTGCCATTGACATCTAATTGTCCAAATCGATTCAAGCAGAAACTGCAAGAGAGTATAAGGTTAAACAATAACTTAGGAAGAGCTGACAGGATGAAAATGTAACCTTGAGGTACCTTAGATGATTGTAAAGTTATAAAAGACACCCCAGGTGACTTTGGAATACACGTGGAAATGAGAGCGTAATGAACCAGACAAAGATCAGCACATGCACATGAAACATTTTGTTGTACAAGCGTGAGTGACCAATCACCTGTTTCGGTATGATTCTTTCTTTGTTACCTTCTTGTAAAACCACCCAAAGGTGTGCTGACTGTGCTGGATGCCTGGCACCCTATTCTGCAGATCTGTAATAAAACCACATCTCTTGATTCAATGTGTGGCTTGGCCCCTGCACACTGGGGGAAAAGATCCTGCTTTAGGGATAACATGCTGAGAAGCTTCACCCCCATTAGAAAACACGTCTCCTCATGCAGTGGAAGAGCATTCACTTCCTTTGGGGCAATAAACAAACAAATCTGTGTGAGAGGAAAAAGAAACCAAGCTCAGATCCTCTGGCTCTGGGGTGGGGAAGTGACTGCAACGATGTGATGACTTCATGACTAAACAGTGCATTTTTCATAGCTATTCGATTTACAGGCTAAAAAATAGGTTTATGGGAGCTTTTAGTTTCAATTTCTAGAGACTGCTGAAGTGTAGCATAGATGTGTATAGCTCTGTTAGAGATGTCAAAACTTTATGAGGTATTATTGTGTTCATCTTACAAGGACTTGGCAAATCTGGCAAGGGGAAAATAGAAGATAATTTTCCAAAGCAGAAAAAGTAACACTGGAAGATGAAAAACTAGAAAAGCATGTCACAGAGAGAGCATGGTGACATGCTTGAGGGAGGATGTCATTGCTCTGTCTGGTCAGAAACTGCCTGTGATGCAGTTCCTGGTTCAGTAACAGATAAAATTGACACATTGAACCCCAAAACTAGACCAACCAGGTAAGTTTATGGTGCCTCTTTGGAAACATGGTTAAGAGAGGGCAGGAAATGCTGAAACAAGAGACACAAGTCCAGGGCAAGTATAGTATCCAAAGGGATGGTGACCAGTGGAAAGGTCCATGCTGGAGCAGTTGAGTAGGACACAAGGAGCACAAGAGCAAAGGCAGCCCCCCCCCAAACCCTCAATTCCTGTACCAACCCTGGTCTCACCAAAGGGTCTGGTTGTAACCTGCAGCACAGGGATGGGGAAACAGGATGAGGGGAAATGAGGCATCTAAGTGTTGGTTGGTTTGTTACTTGGCAATAATTTAATTTGATTGAAATGCCTCAACTCAGAACAGGTATTCTTTGGCCCACGACAGGGTGTCTGGCTATGCATCAAGTGAATGAGGCCACTCAGACTGCAACACCCCAGAAGAGGTTGGGAGAGACCAGAGGAGAAGTCCCCTAGGGAATCATAGAATGTTTTGGATTGAAAGCGACCTTAAAGATCACTTAGTTCCAACTGCTCTGCCACGGGCAGGGACATTTTCCACTAGCCTAGGTTGTTCCAAGTCCCATCCAACCTGGCCTTGATCACTTCCAGGGATGTGGGGCATCCACAACTGCTCTGGGTAAACTGTTCCTGTGCCTCACCACCCTTGTACTGAAGAATACTTACTAATATCTGATCTAAACCCACCTTTTCTCAGTTTAAAGCCATTACCTCTTGTCCTATCATGACATGCCTTTGCAAATAGTCACTCCCCAGCTCTCTTGCACCCCTTTAGGTACTGGAAGGTGCTGTAAGTCCTCCCCAGCTTGTGAACTGCCACAAACAAAACTAGAGAGTGAACAAGGGAGGTGAAGAGTCTAAGAAAGCTAAGAGGGACGACTCATCCTTGAGCAATGTGCATTGCTACCACAGCTCATGCT